CTCAAACTTTTCAGGCTATCAAGGACAGTCTCCTTGATGCTCCAATATTGGCTTTGCCTGACCCTGATTGGTCTTTCAGTGTCGTCTGTGACGCGTCTGATTTTGCCATTGGTAGTGCATTATTGCAGACAGATGTCTGGGTGGACATGAGCGCGTCGTTGCATATAAATCTCGTCAGCTAAAGGCTGCAGGGGAATTATCCAGTTCTCGACAAATAGTTACTTGCAATAAAGTATGCTCCTGTTAAGTTCAGAGTCCGTCTACTTGGATCAAAGCATTTTGTCATCTTCACAGATCATGCGTCATTATGGCTGCGACCCAGTCGCCTCACCTCTCACAACGAATGGACCGCAAGCTTTCATTCTTTGCAAAATATAACTTCGAGGTGAAGTAAAAGCCAGGGAAGCAAAACGCTTTGGCTGATGCGTTGTCACGCAGACTTGATTATGGGCTTGCTCGTGTTACGACTCTGTCGTCGTCGTTTGTGAATTTAATCCGTGCGGCTTATACAAAGGATGAGCAGTGTGCCGCGTTATTGTGCACACTAGGCTGTGATGAGTTCAGAGAATCAGACATTAAATTGTCGGTAGCTTACGTGCAAGCCTACATCGATATGTCATCGATAGTGTGTTGTCGTGCTATAGCACGGATGCGGAGAATACTTCGCGCATCGTTGTTCCCCATGATGAGGACTTGAAGTTTCGTATCCTCTTTGAGGCACATGATACAGCTTTGAGCAGTCATCTCGGCCGTGAGAAGACCTGTAGCTCAGTTAGCCAGATGTATTGGTGACCCAAAAGTTGCACAAATGGGTGAGCACATATGTGCGTACATTTGAAACGTGTAAACGGGTCAAAACAGAAATCAGCAAATGCGGTTGCACCGCTTGCTCGTTCACTGTACCCACTGGAGGTTGGGGGTCCATCGGTATGGACTTTACGTTTCGCCTACCGAAGGATTTGGACGGCGACACTAACATTGTTGTCTTTGTTAAACGTTTGGGCAGGATGTTTCACTCAGCCGCTGTGCCTGATTCCATCGATGGTGAAAGTACCGCAAAGCTGTTTATCGACCGTGTGATTCATCAACACGGTTTGCCTGTGGCAATTGTCTCTGATCTTGATCCACGTTTCACTGGCAAGTTTTGGACTTCCATCTTCAAGATGCTGGGCACCAGGTTGGACATGTCCAGAGCGGATCATCCGCAGACCGATGGTCAAACTGAGCGTGTTAACCGCTTTATCGGTGATATTGTACGCAGTGTTTGTGCTGATACGCCTAGGCGTTGGAGCTCGATGCTCCCGGTAGTCGAATTTGCATTAACAATTCAGTTATGCATCTACATTTTTTACTCCTTTCTACTTAGAGGGTTTCACTCACCCACGCGTTCCGTTAGCGCTACCTCTTCATGGTTCTGAGTTTGGTGGGGGGGGTATAGCCTATCGGCTTGCTGGTGATAGCCGTGCCACTGTTCAGAAACTAGTGAGCGAGTTTCTCGCTACGTGATGGAGTGTCTTAAGCCATGCATGTGACGCAATGGCTGATATCCAGAACAAACAAATTGAACAAGGTGATGCAAACGGCAGAAAGTGTATTGAGAGTTATAAAGTTGGAGACCTAGTCTTACTTAACGTTAAGAATCTACCTACTAAGGTGGTGTCAGCGGTCTGCGGGACCAAGTTGCGTCCTCGCTTCATTGGGCCGTTTACGGTTGTGGCCAAGAAGGGCCTAGAGTATGCACTTAACCTTCCACGCAAGATGCGATCACACCCAGTTGTTGACGTCGTCTTGCACAGGCCTTCTTTTGATACGTCTCTGGTGGATCACGAGGCGCTGCGTCGAAGGAGTTGGCGCTGCCACAAGTCGATGAAGCCTCAAGTAAAGATCCAGTTGTCCTTCAAGACGCGCCACGCGGTCACGAAGAACACGCGCCTCGTACACTAACTCGTCGATGACGCGTCTAGAATAACCAACCACTGCCTGCTCTCGTTAGCGAGCAGGGGAAAAAGTACCTTGTTGAACGAATCCTGCAGCGACGTCATCGCGACGGTCAGTACCAGTACTTGGTACAGTTTCGGGGGTACCCGGAGTCGGAGAACTCGTGGGAGTACCATATGTTACTGCTGCAGGATTGTCCGTACGCCGTTGACGTTTTAAACGTCGTATTCAGGGCCAGTCGACTCGTACTGCTTTAGTATAGTCGGTGCGGTAGTGAAGAGGCTGCAGCTGCAGCATGTGCGCTGGTGTGCGGGTCCATAGCTGCCCAACATAGCGGGTGCGATAGAACGATTGCAGTTATCCTTTGGCCTTTTGTTTTGCGAAATCGAAGCGCAAATTTCGTTCGAGCCAAACGTCACTAAGTGAAGCGCTCTCTTGGAAATTCCACAGGCTTGGTAGATGGCGAGCTCTGTGAGCCCAAAGCGTGAAGACGACTAATTTTTCGCCTTTTTCTTACCAGGAAAAACGACAGGTACTGTCCGCATGGCGGACACTGACGCACCTCGTGCTTGCTGATTCATCCTGTTAAGGTAAACTTGAAACGTTATCCGTTCAACCCCCAAGTATCCCGCTCTTAAGGCATTCCTATCCACTAGTTCTGCGGCTGTGACACCCCTGAGTCCCGTGATCCATGTTGCGAGTGACTGCCCGGCAGTCTGACGAATGCATTTATCCACACTCGGTCGTGTGAAGCTGTAATTTTGTGAGCATGCACTGTGGCTACACATTGTGCTTGGCACCTGCGGTCATCGACCGACTGAAGGTGCTGTGCTTGATCTTCATCAAGTGTGTTGTGCAACACACCCAACGCTGGGTTGACGGATGCACGCTGTGCAAGGGGTGAAGGTACCTTCTCGCGTTTCACGAATGGATTAGGCGCGATGCGTGTGGTGTCACGCGTCGGTGGCGTAGCTGGAGGGTCATCGTAAACACTCGAAGCGACAGTGTCACTCTCACAGTCCACCACACCTTCTTTGAGGATTTTGTCAACGGTGTTAGAAGAAGGGTTTAACTCAGTCACTTTGAGATGTGTTGTGAACACGCTGATCAAGGACCAGAGATTTGAGGCTTCAAAAGGCAGTAGATGAATTGTCGACGCTAGGGTGTGGACAGTTTGGTGGGGGTGGTGTTACGGAGTTACACGGCGGTTATTGAAACGGTTATGTTCTGTGTCCACACCAAGTGAAGATCGGTGGATCTGAGTGGTGCAGGATTGGCACCACGTACTTACCTTAATACCGCACCTGGTCTGTGAGGGATTAGGGATAAGACTTCTGTCATAGGATCGTAATATAGAAGTCAATCAGACAATGCTCATGGTTTTATTATCACCGTAGCTAAAGAATAAATAAAGTTCAGTTCCCCTTTTGGATCGCTGTACACAAGTGCCTTGTAAAGGCGTAGTGTGTTTTAGAGCATTAGCCTTGCAAAGGCGTTAACTCTTGTTCAACCAGTAGTGACTAGTTAGTGTGTGATTCTGTGAATCGTAATCCCTTTGGAACCAAAATTGCTAAGCTCGTAAGCTTATACGACTGTACACCTTTAAGTTTGTTGTAAATAAGCGACTCTTTGAGCCTGAGACTTCCTCTGTTAAGGAGCGCTAAGTAGCTCTGCTACAAATCTTGTAAAGGGGTGAGCCTGTTATATGTAATAAACCTTGACACTTTTAATTAGAGTGTTATCATTAAGCTTGATATTTATCATGAACATTACCATTAGGGGTAATATTCTGAAGCACTCACCGATTGACTGAACAAAGCCATCCTATTAGCCAGATCCAGCGGTCCAATCCATGATAGACGCACGCAATGAGTAGTAAGACTTTAGAAGACTTTTATAAATAGTTATCCTTAAGTCAGAACTATAGCACAAATTTATGATTAGGACTTAATTAGATTTAGTGCAGTTTCGCTTTGTACTCCTATTGAGCGCGTCGCTCATTAAATATCCTTCCTCTGCACATATAACGTAGGTAGTGCCACGCGTTACTTCACGTACAACGTACGTGCAAATGAAGGCTATTTTATGAAGGAACCATTCAATAGGATTAATAAAAATAAATTGTATTGAATCTTATTAAGTCCTGATCATAAATGTATGCAATAGTCCTAACAAAATGATGTTTATTTACAAAAGTCTGCTAAAGTTTTGCTCACCACTTATTGCGCGCGTCCATTGTTGATTGGACCGCTAGAGCTGACTAATCTGATGGCAAATATCAGCCAATCGGCGAGTGCTTTGGAATATTACCTCTTATGTCAACCTCCATGATAATTTTCTAAAAAACAAGCAAGTGTCAAAGTTTATTACATGTAACAGGCTTACCCCGTTACAGATTCCGTGCGTCCGGTCCGGACTTTGAATATGCTGGTCCCACACGGCGACTGTCTCTCTCGGTCCTATCCTTATGGCATCTTGGTTGTCCTATGTAGCGTCCGCCTCCTTCGTCCAAACTGTCGCGTTGTCACGATTAGCACCAGTTAGGTTACGTTGATTCTTACGTGTATCAGATCTTGAAGCTGACGCTTGAACGCTTGACAACCTGTGAGAAGTGATAACCTTTAACAGACACACCACCACTAGTTTTCCATAAGTAACGCCCACATTTAACTAGATAGATTTAGTGCGACAGGTGGTGGAGGAGTCGCGACTGCTGCACGACGAAATATCGAGGAAAATAATGTGTGACGTGGATACTTAATTGAGATGCCGCTGTGTAAGGGTCGAGACAGTAATTTCTGGGTGTTGATGTGATCTCTCTTAAAAACATGCATCTGTACCCAGCGCGTATCAAGACAATCCGGAAACGCAACCTGCATCCGTGCACTGCGGATTGATCGTCCACCACCAGTGTTTACTACGCAATAAGCGCTGTTTGATTGCGTACATGTCCGTAACTTTTCGTTTCGCTCGTTGATGGGATTGTTGCTGCAGTGACTGCAGCCGTTCCAAAGCTGAGACGCTCCATTTGTCCTGCTGCATGTGTACTAACACACGTACCAATGTATCTACTATGTTCACTGGCTCCAAAGTACGTTTTTGAGATGGCTGAAGTGGGAGGTGGAATGCAATAAGCGGACGACTGAAGTACTGCTTCCGTGTTCTAGTTTGTGCCAGCGCGAGGTGCAGTTCTTCAACCAGTACGATCAGCTAATAACGAACTACATGACCGAATTCGAGCTCGACCTCTCGGCGGTACGAAGTTGTATTTTCTTGTTGTGCAGTTCTGCAGCTTAAGGTTCAGCGCCAGATAGAGACCGGTGCTGACCGGTGCTGTGACTTTGCCGTTGTTGTTGGTGGTGGTGCAGGATCTTCAACCTCCCAAAGACTTGTACGTAGAGGTGCGCGTACTGCGCGACTGCGGCGAGGTCATGACCGAGAGCGGATTGGTGAATCTGGACGCTCATTCGCACCATTTCTTACGACGCGTGGACGTGGAGCAGCTCATCCGCCAGGGGGTCCTCGAGCAGATAAAGCGCTGAACAACGCGACTGTTTCCGTAGAAGGGTGCTGCTCCTGTCTTGTCCCGTCTTCCTCACTCTTTTTGCATGTGACGTGTCGGTTTGCTGAGTCTTATTCACCGGACTCGCACAAGCGCTCTTTTCAGCCAATCACCATCCAGCCACTTTATAATTTTCCACTCTTTTCTTCGCGAGCTCAAGCTCCACGTACCCACCGACTGTCGATCCACGAACTGACTCCTTTTACAGCCAATGACGATCCACGATGAGGCATGCGCCACCTCGAGTCAGTTGCCAAAGTGACAAGCGTCGCAATGGTCAAAGACGAAGCCGCCGACGTCACGTCCAGAGTCAGCAGCAGAAGCCCCGACAACGTCAAGTCTGGAGCTGCCAAGCCACTACTCGCTCACAAGAAGAGCTCTGGCATCTCCTCCTCTCGCTGGCCGGTGCTATCAGCTGCAGTGGTGCTCCTTGCAGTGGGTTGTGCCACGTACGTGGACGTGCCCCGAGTCGTCCAGAACCTGCAGAGCTTTGTCGGAACCCACGTGTTCAGCGCTGGTAACGCAACGTCTGGAGCTGGGAATGTCAGTACGGACATCGTCCCGGACAAGTACACGACGGACCTGGTAGCGATTCAAGTGCGTCACATCGTGAGCGACTTGACATGCAACGACTCGGACTATTCGGCGTCGACGCTTTTTGACGGCCGAGTGGTGTCGGTGACGGAGCCCATGGAGGCAGAGCAGCCGATGGCTGAAGATAGGGTGTTTTTCATGCTCAATGGCGCTAACAAGGGTGTCTACGTGTCCTGGAACGGTCAATTCGACTGTCTCGGTCAGGCAGCTGAGGTGGCTGCGGCGTGGCTGGGGGCAGACCGAGACGTGATGGTGAATGGAGTGCGTCTCTACAGTCAACTGGGCTGGCCCGTTCGCAACGCAGATGAGTTGCATGATACAAAGAACATTGTCCACGTACTGCTGGACTTCCAGTTGTGGCAATGGCCGGGTATCAAGAATGGGTACAAGTATGTTTTGGAAAACGGGGTGACGCTGACGACGGTGGGGATTAGTCCCAAGGTGTTTGATGTGCAGTATTTCATCACTCAGGAAGAAGCGGATCAGGTCATTGAGATTGGATCGCCATTGCTGAACCGGTCAATGGTGAGTGGGACAAACACGACTCGGGTGGAGTCGAGTTCCCGCACGAGCCACACGGCGTTTTTGCCTGATAGCATATTCACGCGAGACTTTCAAAAGCGCTCAGCTCTTGTCGCACGACTCCCGAGTCCTTCGTACGTGGAGCACTTGCAGTTGGTGCGCTATGGCGCGGGTGAGTTTTACCGGCAGCACTTCGACACTTTTTACTCGCGAGAGTTCCTTCCGGAAGGTGCAGACATGTACAAGTATGAAGACTACGTGGAGTGGACCGTATGGGCTGCAGAAAAACTTCGAGGCATGGACCAGAACAAGGTGCCTGAGAAGTTTCGAGAGGGTGGACCACTGTTCCCGAACGCCAACGACTCCATTGTCTTTCCTCAAGCACTTCTCGGGATGTTCCGTGACCACATGAACACAACGAACCAATTCAAAGCTCTTTTTGATACCGGTTACGACGATTGGATTCGTACATGTCTGGAAAGCGGTGCTGAAATCGTAATGAAGGATCTGGTGGAAGATAAGCAGCGTCCATCTTACTTGCCGCTCATTGTTCAGACCTGGGAGGAGCAGCTGGGCCTTGGCGAACTGCGCTACACCTTTCCCAAGCACGACACAAACTCCGTTTCGCATTTTTTCCATTGGGTTCGCTGGGCGAAGGAGCGCGTGAGTTTCTTGGGCGACAAGGTGCCGGCAGCTGCTCGTCCTGGTGGGAAGTTGTATCCCGAGTTCACTGTACAGTTTCAAGAGATGCTGCTCGGATTTATCCTTGATGATTACTCCCGGGGCTTTGTCGTGCGCATGACTAATAAGGAATGGTACGATTGGATGGTATTCAACCGCGGACGCAATAACGTCCTTTTCAAGGTGCTACAGGCATTCCCTCAGTCCGCCGAGCTAGCGATTCGCACGTGGGAATCACGCATCGGTGGTGTCCCAGAGCTGCACTACAAGCTACCTGATTACGTTCAGCACTTCCAACCGCAGCGATTTGTGACGTTGTTTTTATACCTGAACAACCAGACCAAGGTCGGTGGAGAGACTGTCTTTCCCTTTTCGCTGGACCGGTATTCGGATGAGCCGATCGTGCGTGACGGTATGGACGAGTGCTCCTCGGGCCTCGCCGTGCCACCTCTTGCTTTGCACGCTTCTCTCTTTTACGTCCAAACCCCCGAGGGCGTTCCCGATGTCATGAGTCGCCACGGTGGCTGTCCACCATCCGAAGGTGTGAAATGGGGCGCCAACTCGTTCATGTGGGACTCGGACTCGGAAGAAGGCGCCGAGCTTTGGACCACCAAGTAACGCGCACGTTCCGCTGGGTCCTCACAAGACGGGACTTCTTTCAGAGAGTGGTGGTTGCCATGTGCATATGTTTGCAGCAGTTGATTTGCCTCAGTCTTTGCAGTATTATTCGCCTGCGCGTCCTTGTCGAATTCTTTTTGGAGAAAATAAAAATGCTTCATTTAACCAAGAATAAGATGAAGAGCAAGCTCGGGAGTGTACCCCTTGAAATACTAATTCAGTTTATAGAGCTGTACCATGTTCTGTACATTTACGTACCTTGCACACAGTCACTGATTGCTTCATCCTTCAGACTCGCAATAAAAAATGCCTCGGACAACCAGAAAATAAAACTAATTCCCTGAGCACTTGGAAAATGAAATGTAGTGCCGCATACCATGAAAAGTCCGACCTCCGACGTATCGTACAATAGGTACGCATCAGGTACGTCGTCATATTTCGAGCTCTTTCAGTGTCTGAGTTCGACCACCCGTCTAGCTTCTGCTTCAGTGCGTGCAAATGCTTTTTATTACAAATTTGTGAATGAAAACAAGGAGATGTGTGTGAGTCTAATTGATTTGCTTTACATCCCTTCAAGAATGTCTCGTGTGAAGCCAGGAGCAGGATTAACGACCGCGCCAGACTAGAGAAGACTACGGTAGCGCGGAATATTGCCGTTCAGCTCGCCAGCTCGATGGAGTGCGCGTATCTGCTTCAGAACGGCATTGACGTCTTTCGAGCGAATAACGCGCTCGCCAAAGAACTTCAAGATATTTGCTTCTGACTGCAAGCCGAGCTCCTACACGTCGTTGCGGTACGTTGGCATTTGCTCGTTTAGTGTGAAGCGTGTTTCTAGAAACAGCTCCGAGAAAGCAGCGAGAAGCTATAAGAAAGCAGCGAGCAGCTTCGATTTTAACTTCTTCTGCTTCTCTCCGTGGGCGCTCCATAAGGACTGGGTACGCGCGTGCCACTCGAACCGCACTGAGTGAGGGTGAGTTAACGACGACTGCTTTCTGTGCTTTGTGGATTCGCTGACGTTTTCATCCTCCTCTTTGCGCTTGTTTTATTTGTATTAAGGTCCACAATTCGTCGAGCTTAGCTTCGAGCTCATCTTTGCGCTCGTCGTGGCGTTTTGCATTCCGGATAAAGTGGTCAATCACAGAAGCTTGGTGGCGAATGATTGTGCGTTCTTTAGACTCTGTGCTTGGCTTGTTTGCTAGTTCTTCCTCCTCCTCCTCTTCTTCTTTTTCTTCTATACGCAGCTCTGTACAGGTGGCCGTGACGAGATGTGGGGACCATGCAAGCAAATAGGCAAGGGTGCTGCTACCAGACTCCAGTACGCAAGTTTCCAAGCGCTTTACAGCTGGCTTGTTGGGGCTGTCTCTTTAACTAAATGGAAAATGCAGAATCAGGTACATTGTTAGCACGTCGATGACGCGCTGGCTGATGTTGATCTTCTTTGCTCTGAGTCTCTTAAAGGTCAAGAAGAGCAGCGCCTGTACCTCGCGTATATTGCCCTGCGTCTGAGCGTCGAAGAATCTCAAGTCAGCGAGCAAAACGCATTTGTTCGGCTTCCAGCCGCTCAAAACCTTCGCAATCTTGTGATTCTCGTTCATGGCGTTGGATACATAATTAAACGCTAGGCTCGTCGTGCTCACGTTCCAGGCGCCGCGGTCGAATGTCCAACTGTTGTAAGTGCATGATGCACTGGATTCGACTCCAGAGATTCGACCCATGATAGGGTATGTCTAGAATGTTCTTTAGGGTTCTATGCATTATTATAGGTCGTACGGCAGCTAGACGTATGGATAGTTCTCACTTGTAGATTGACAAACCACTGATGAGGCCCCCGGCGGGGGGCCGAAACGCGTCTGGTGCGCGGTAATATACAAGTCATTTACTTTACTTAACTCTTACTTCTTACAGGTTATGAGCCCAAGTGCTCGCTACAGACACCTCACCAAGGACCAACTTGTGCGAGGGACACCCCGTCAGAGAAGGCGCTCGATGCACGAGTAAGGCGCCGAAGAATTCATCGACAGGGATCGTTGACGGTGCGCGTGCAGTCGAAAAGGGTTTGTGCAAGGGTGGTGACGCGAGATGGTCTGAATGCGCGAGTGCTATCGAAGGAAGAGTCAAGTCAAGTGGTGACAAGTGTATTTGTGGTCAAGAAGAAGTGGAAACTACATCCAAGGCGAACGACGACTACGAGATGTCAAGATGTGACATGGTGCTGGACGATGGGGGAGCTGGAATACCTGGAACGCTCGATATCATCGAGGTTGGCTGGAGCGCAGGGGCAAGACTCAATCAAGATTCCCATGGTGCACGGATGCAGCAGTGAGGATTACAGGCGGGTCGATACCAAAGTGGTCTGCATCTCATGTCGTCGAGGGGGAGTGTTGTAAGTGCATGATGCACTGGATTCGACTCCAGAGATTCGACCCATGATAGGGTATGTCTAGAATGTTCTTTAGGGTTCTATGCATTATTATAGGTCGTACGGCAGCTAGACGTATGGATAGTTCTCACTTGTAGATTGACAAACCACTGATGAGGCCCCCGGCGGGGGGCCGAAACGCGTCTGGTGCGCGGTAATATACAAGTCATTTACTTTACTTAACTCTTACTTCTTACACCAACGCGCCGCGAGCTGTGCAGCTGTCCGCGTGCTGCGCATTGCCACGGTGAAACAAGTGTGACGTGAGCTGCTGCTCCACTCGAGCTAGCGTGACGACGCGGTCGAGGAAGCGATTAATGTGGCTGTGGATTGTCGTTGAGGTGTTTGTACCCGAGGCAGCAGCAGAATGGAGACCGCAGGAAGCCTCCGGGTGGGAGAGAATGTCATGAAGCGGTGTCTCCGAGTCGAATCTGAATGTGGTGTTCACTTGTTGAGCTGGTAAATTGTCGAGGAGGTCGACACACGGCTCTGTCTGTGTGGTGATTGCCGGAGCGATGGCGTGCAGCGGGAACGTGGCGAAATCATCGGTGGGGAAATGGAGAGTTACTACTCTTCGCAATTTACGAACGAAGCGTACGAAAAAACACGTCATCCGCATTGATCGAGACGTTCTGTTTGCAAGAGAGCGCCAAGTCCGAAGCACGCCTAAATAAACACCAAAGAAGGCACAGCAAAGCAGCATCCTGGTAGTAACTAGTCGAGCCTGCTTTTGGATGCATATTGTACATCATTCGCCTCGAGCCAGTTTGCTTACATGCATTAAACATCTTTACAACTCCTTTGCCTTCTCCCTTGACCTAGTAGTTCTCTAGTGTTATTCCCATTTTGAGTAGCCGTCAGTCTAGTACAGCACGCTGCTGCGGTAACTGATCTAGAAACCAATACTTAGTTTGTCGGTAGTATTGCATGCAAGAATGTCTAGCAAGCGGCTTGCCAGCTCCACCTTCGTGAAATGCAAGATACGTACCGAACTTATCCATTACAGACACAAAGCACTGCACAGATTCGTCCCGCTGAATGCATTCCTTGACAAACTCTCTATTTGCATTCTCAGACTGTAGAAACCGGAAAAAGCAGTTGCTCTGGCTCTGTCTCGCTTGGAGTTTCCAGGCTGCAAATTAGCTAAACTCATCTGAAGTCCAACAGCACGCAACTATACAGATGATGCACCCTTGAGTACGAGTTTGTAACGGAGTTGCACGAAATCATGGTACTTTGTACCAGAGGTGTTACACACCTGAGGGTTCGCTTCTGTAAAGGTGATATAGAATATCTTATCGGTTTGTAGGGGCTGACGAGTGTCAGCCATTAGATACGAAAGATCTTTGAGTAGGATTAAGATATTCTATAGGCTTTAACAAAAATAAAATCAGTTCCCATTTTGATCTGAAAGACACGTGGCTTGCAAGCCGTCTTGATCGTTGATCTCTGATCACTGAGAGTTAGCGACACCTCCTTGAGGTAGCTACTCTTGAGCACTAAGTGCTGTCGATTCACTGAATCGTTAGGTCCCCTGGAACAGGGATCTGAAGCTATAAAGCTTGTTGACTCGTAAAGTCGTTAGTTCTTTAGAACTAAGTTGCTCGTAGAGCGTTAAGTCTTCCTCTGACTTAAGGAGCTGTGTAGCTCCGCTACACTTGGTAGCACTAGTAGTCAATCTACGCCTGAGTCTTTAAGACTGATCCTCTGTGAGGATGGAAAACATCACTCCCTATCTGAGGCCCAAAAGGTCGCGCTTGATAAGCTGACCGCATCTTTGGGTCCAGAGTACGTGGAGTTCCTTGTTTCACAAGGTCCTGAAGTGCTTAATGCACGTGTTGAAAGCTTCATGCAGTATGAAGCGACCCTTTTAGGGCAGGTCCAAGACCAAATAGCGTCGGCTATGCCCACACGCTACGTGTCTGTACCAGACGAAGAGGCTAAGCCTCGTCCACTTAGAGTGGAAGTAAAAAACTACTCCGGTAAGGAGGGTGAGAACCTCATCCTCTGGATCCGCGAGATCGAGATGGCCATGAGATCAGGTCTGATCACGCTTGACCATCAACAGGTCTCGCTGGCTATCTCGAAGCTCGATGGTAGAGCTAGAGAATGGGCCTTGACGTGTAGCACGTCGGTGGACATAGCGTTTCCCACATGGGAGTCGCTCAAGTTACAATTGGTACAGGTGTTTTCTCCACCTAACCAGGCTTACCGCGTGCGCTCACGCTTTCTTTCTACCCGCCAGGGTAAGACTGAATTATCGGACTATGTCCAAGAGCTGCGAACGCTCATGGCTGCAATGCAGTCTGACCCTTTGCCTGAAGCAGTCCATGTGACTATCTTCATGATAGGTCTACGTACTGGCATTGCCATAACCGAAGTTTTTCGGGTTCACCCCTCTACGTTTGAAGAGGCTGTGAGAATTGCTCTTAATGCTGAGCATAACTTCAAGTCGGCCAGACTTGGTTGGAACGGATACAATCCTCGCTCTGTGAGAGCAAACTATTCGGGTACCACTGCCTATAATAGGCCGGAACCGATGGATCTCAGCTATGCTGAAGATGGAGGTGAAGCTGAGCTTCAAGCTGCTGAGCAGAAACACGTTGTAAGACGATGCTTTACGTGCGGAAGCACTAAACACTTGCGGCCTGGTTGCCCTTTGCGTAAGCAACGCCAGACTACGAGCCAACACTCGAGCCCGAGTCAGAAGTCTGGCATGGCACGGGGAAATGCCGACACCCAGTAGGGCGCCCCGCGCCTACTGGGGAAGAACTATGTTCTGTTACACCTTTAGAAGGTAAAGGAATGCAGGGCTTAGCCCCAAAGAGTACCATACCTACGGGTATGGTGCGTGGATACAAGTCTGGCTTGTTGGTCGCCGAGGCGAAAATTCAGGGCTTCGAGAAGCCTTGGTCGATATTGATCGATTCTGGAGCGTCTTGCAATTATGCTCGACGCCGTTCCCTTAAGGGAAGCCAGCGTTATGCTGAGGCGCTTACAGCGCATGAGGGTGATTCTATAACGGTTCGTTTAGCGACTGGAAGTCGCGTAACGGTGCCTAAAGTTCCATTGAACTTAGGTATAAAGTTTTAGACTTCGACAGTATTGAGCGCTGTCTTGTCCTAGATTTGGACTCGAGATATGATCTCATCCTAGGTATGGCTTGGCTTGAGCGCCATGAGCCATGGGTTGATTGGAGGTCTAAGACCTTAGGAGCTACGCGCAATGTTCCTAGCGAAGCTTTGGAGAGTCATGAACCCACCTTTGCTAGGCAGCAGAAGCGCTATTGGCGCGAGCCTTTGACAGAAGATGTCAATGTGCTGGATATTGGAATGTCCGAGTTATCTAACTCCAATGTTAAAAACATAAGTTTTGAGCCTAGCTCGTCTAAAACTAGTGAAACGGCACGTACTCCGTTGAGTGGTACTCGTTGTGATAACGAGTCACTGCATGCTGAAAGCATGGTTGGCCTAGGGCCGAGTGATCAAGGACGTGATTCCTTTGATGTGTGTATGGTGGCACGTGAAATTACACCGAGTGCGGTCGGCCGTGAGAGCACCGCACTGAATGTCCGTAATGGCGTTGTTGGCGATTCGCCATATGGTGTGGGCGGCCGTGAGGGCACCACACCTGATGTCAGTAATGATCTTTTTGGCGATACGCCGTATAGAGTGGACGGCCGTGAGGGCACCACGCTTAACGCCGGTAATGGCGTTGTTGGCGATACACCGTATAGTGTGGGCGGCCGTAAGGGCACCACACCTAATGTCAGTTATGACACTGTTGGCGATACGCCGTATAGTGTGGACGGCCGTGAGGGCACCACACCTAATGTCGGTCAAGACAAAAGCTCTCGTGTAGAGCGTACTATGGTTGGTAGTAACCATAAGGACAATATTGTCCCGACCCATATAGGGTGTAAGATCTCGAAGAGACAATCGAGACGCCGAGTAGCAGCTGTAAAGCGCCAGGCGTCCTCACAGTCACATAGTGAGATTAGCAATACACTATATACACTTGTTAATGGAGTGACTGGTCAGGTTAATGGCAATGTGAGCCTCGAAACCCTTCCATCTGTGGACGCTCTGTGTGAGCTAGACGAAATGTCTGATGGCGAGCTTAGCCAGGCCTTGAAGGCAGGAGAGTTATCCGAGTTAGCAATCATTAGACCTGATACTGACTTAAATTCTTCCTCGTTAATGGATGAGTCTGTCCTAGAGGATACAAAGGCGGCACTTAGTGCACGAAGTGGATCTTCGATCCTTAAAGATCCTTTGGATCCGTTCTATTCTTTAGTCAAGGAATTTCAAGATGTGGTGTGTCACAACCCACCTTCTGCCTTACCTCCCGATAGAGGTGTACGTCATGAGATTGACTTGGTTCCTGGAACTAGATACTGTGTAACACGGCAGTGGCCTTTGCCTAAAGAACAGTGCGACGTCATTGACGATTTCTTTCGTGCTAAGCACGCGGCTGGAATGGTTCGTGAGAGTAAATCTCCCCATTCAACACCGACATTTTGTGTCAGAAAGCCAAATGGCAAGTGGCGTATTGTGCATGCTTACAATAAGCTTAATGCAGCCACTATACCGGCGCAGACGCCTATTCCTAGAAAGGATGTTCTTCAAAACAATATGGCGGGATGTACACTGTACAGTGCACTCGACTTAGTCGATGGTCATTACCAACTGCTCATGCGAGCAAGCGATATTCCGCTAACAGCGGTGAGTACTCCGAGCGGTATGCTTTGGGAGTGGCTCGTTATGCCACAAGGGCTATCTAACGCCCCGGCTACATTTAACCGGTTGGTAACGCAACTATTCAGACCTCATCGAGGCTATGCACAAACGTACTTTGATGACATTTTTGTCCATAGTCGTGCAATGAATGGGCGATCAGATGTGGATAATCACATCGATCATTTACGAGCGGTGCTCGGGTGTATGCGGATGAATAAGCTGTATGCGAACGCATCGAAGTGCATCTTTGGTGCAGAAGAGATTCCCTTTCTAGGGTGCTTCATTGGGAAGCGAGGCCTTCGAGCGGATCCCGCTAAGGTAAAAGCCATAGTCGATTGGCCAGTCCCCAAGAACCAAAAGGACTTGCGTAAGTGGCTTGGCCTTGCCAATTACTTACATAAGTACAGTGCAAATTACGCAGATATGGCTCGGCCATTGTCCAATCTCCTTAAAAAGGATGTGGGTTGGTGTTGGGGTAACACCGAACATAATGCTTTTGAAGCAGTTAAGGAGAGTCTCCTTCATGCGCCAATATTGGCTTTGCCCGATTCTGGTCGGCCTTTCAGTGTCGTCTGTGACGCATCTGACTTTGCCATAGGCAGTGCTCTGTTACAAACAGATGTCGACGGACGCTAACGCGTCATCGCATTTGAATCTCGACAGCTGAAAGCTGCTGAAAAGATCTATCCTGTTCATGACAAAGAGCTACTTGCTATGAAGTACGCTCTTGTCAAATTCAGAGTCCATCTGCTTGGCTCGAAGCCATTTGTGATCTATACCGATCATGCGTCATTGCGCACTGCGACACAGTCGCCTCATCTCTCACAGAGAATGGCTCGTTGGATTTCATTCTTTGCCGAATATAACTTCGAGGTGAAGT